GAGCCCCCCCCCCCCCCCCACACACACACGCGGATGGCGAGACCGTCATGGACACATTGGTGCATCGGTGTGTGTGTGTGCGTGTGTGTGTTGTCAGGCTGTTGAGTCGATATGTGCCATAGTGATGAAGGCCAGTGACAAGACCAGGGTGCAGCTCACGCAGAAGGTCGTCTTCGGACTCGTCCAGTCACTCAGCGAAGGTAAGTAAAGTCGGTGTCGGTGAGCTCAGCTCGTGGGGCCTGCAAAGACATGCAATCAAATCATGCTGTGTGTCTGTGTGTGTGTGTCTGTGTGTGTGGGTGGTCCATCTATCTCATCTGCCGTGTGTGTGTTGTGTGTGTAGGTGAGCGGTTCACCTCTCGCGTGTCTGCCTGCGGCCTCCTGGCCACCACATACAAGTTCTGCGAACCGCACCAGAAGGAAGAACTCAGAAAGTGACCTGACCACACACCAGACAGACAGACAGACAGACAGGCAGGCACGAACAAACAGACCAGCGGTGTATTCCGTGTGTGTGTGTGTGGTTGTGTGCCCATGTCATGTGTGTGTTAGGATTTTCAACAAGCTATGTGCTGACGACACACCGATGGTCAGGAGGGCAGCGGCCAGCAAAATGAAGGTTAGACAGAATGCACCCACACCAGCACACCACACCACCCCAACCCCATGAGCCATGTCGAGTGCGTCGCGTCCGTCTGTCTGCCCGTCCGTCCGTCACACAGGATTTTTTCCAAGTCACTGAGAAGCCTTTGATCCTGAAGGACCTCATCAACACCTTCAAGACACTGGCGCAAGACGACACGGTCCGCCGCATCAACCACCCAAGCTACCAACTCTCGACCCTCTCCCTCTCTCCCTCTCTCTCTGTGTGTGTGCCTGCAGCAAGACAGCATCCGTGTGTCGTGTCTGAACGCTGCGCTGGAGCTGGCCAAGGTGCTGAACGGTGACGAGAACAAGACGCACACCCTCATTGTGGTCAAGGCGGCCGCGGAGGACCGCTCCTGGCGAGTCAGGCTATCGCTGGCCAAACAATTCGATCAAGTCAGTAGGAGGGACGCTATGAACGGCCACAGACACACAGACACACAGACAGACAGACAGACAGAAGTGGGGGTGGGCTGCCCGCACCGTGGTGGGTGCATGTGGTTGTGTGGTTGTGTGTATGGGTTTGTGTTAGTTGTGCGCTGCGTTTGGTCCTGACATCACGTCTTCGTTTCTGCTGCCGCCCTTCATCCTGCTGCTGAGAGACTTCGAGCAGGAAGTCCGCACCGCCGCCGTCCTCATTATCGGTGAGTAGGCACAGACGCCAGCCATCTGGCCGCTTTCTCACACACCCTTCATGTGGTGTGGTGCTGGTGTCCGTTCATTCAACCATATAAATATCAGAGAAGTGTGCCGAGTACATCTCGCCTGACCACATCCAGAACTTCATCGTGCCCTGCTTCGCCAACCTAGGCATGGACGCAGCGCAGTCCGTCAGGGGTAAGGTCTACTCTAGTCTAGACGCACAAAACCACACACACAAACAAATGGGGTGGATGTTTCTCCCCCGTGTGTGTGTGTGTGTGTAGCTGCGTTGGCGACGGTGATCGGTCCGGTGGCTCAGGCGTTGGGTCGCGAGCCGACGCAGAAGCACCTGCTGAGCCTCATCCTCGAGCTGATGAGAGACGAGTTCCACGACGTCAGGCTCAAGTGAGCTCGAGGATGCGCACACCACAGGTGGTATGTCCGGCGATTGGATTGTGTGTCTGGTCTGTGTGTGTGTGTGTGTGTGTTGCGATCGATAGTGTTGTGAAGCACGCGGGCCAGATTTGCGAGGTGTTGGGTGTGGACACGCTGGCGCACTCGCTCCTCAACACCATCAAGGACCTCATGAACGACTCACAGGTACATCTCATCACACACACACACACACACAGAGCTCTCCATCCATCCATCCACCGGCGGCTGTGTGCCGTGCAGTGGCGGATTCGGCTGTCGGTCGTCAACCAGATCCCTACCCTGGCCAAACAATTCGTGAGCAACAGCCAGGGCAACCAACACACAGACGGACGGCAGGAGGGAGGCAGGAAGCCGTATGTGTGTGTGTCTGGTGTGTGTCTGTCTGTCTGTGCAGGGTGCCGACATGTTTCAGTCCAAGTTGGAGGCGCTGTTCATCCAGTCGCTCAACGACAGCGTATTCGCCGTCAGGGAAGCTACCATAAACAACATCAGGGTGCGCCACACAGACACAGACACACACACACACATACAAACAGTGTCTGCATGTCTCTCCATCTGTGTGTGTGTGTGTGTGTGTGTTTCAGCTGATAGCCGAGACGTTTGAGCCGCAGTGGACTGTGGAGCACCTGCTGCCCAAGATTCTGGACCAGTACAACAAGGCCACAGGGTACACCTACAGAATGGCCACTCTGCACGCAATACCGGTGGGTACTCAGGCAGGCCAGCTCACAAGCCCCACAGCCACAGCCAGGCAGACACATTTGGACCTTTTTGTGTGGCGCGTGTGTCTGTGTGCAGCAATTGTCGGCCGTCATGACGCCCGAGCAGATCAACCAGTCCATCGTACCCCTCCTCAAGAAGGCGCTCAAGGTGAGCAATGGCGACACGACACACGTGACTCCACCCCGAAGTGCTGTGTTCGTGTGGTGTGGTGTGCACTGCAGGACATCGTGCCGAATATTCGGTTTGCGGCGGCCAAGACCTGTGCCTATTTGGTGGAGCAGGACCTCCTCACACCGGCCATCGTCAACAACGACATCAGGCCGTAAGATAGCACTAAACACACACACCCACAGGGAGGGGGAGAGCAACCATGCTCATGGCGTCGTGCCTTCCTGCCTCCCTGTGTGAGTTCAGTGCGTTGGAGGAGCTGACGAGCGACACGGACATCGATGTGCAGTACTTCGCCAACCAAGCCCTCAAGAAGTGCAACAAAGGTGCCCATCCATCCATCCATCCACCTCACACACACAGGGGGGACGCACAGCACAGCAAAGCACAGCAGCGGACAGGCAATGAATGACCGTGTCCCTCCCGTATCTCTCTCTGGCTGATGTGATGTGTGCAGCGTGACGGGCTGCCATGGGTTGGCCCTCCTTCCTGTCCCTCCCCATCTCTCCCCTTCTCTCCCCTCCCCTATCTCTGGCCTGCGCTTCGACTACACGTGTGCAGGTCTGGTCTCTCCCTCTCCCTCTCCCTTTCCCTCTCCCCCTCTGTCTGTCTGTCTGTCTGTCTGTGTTACTCACTCACACACACGCGCACACAGCCCACCTTCCTTCCAGCCCTCACTTAGCATGCATGACCGAGTGCCAATACGTGAGCCTTCTTTGTTTCTTTCTCCCCTTGCTGGGGCTGGCTGGCTGGCTGGCTGGCTGCTATATGTGTGTGTGTGTGTGTGTACAAAGCACCTATTATCCCATCAACGAACGAAGCGGGGGGGAGGGAGGAGGAGGGTGGGGGAGGGAGGGAGAGGGCTCAGTCAGCTCAGCAGGTAGTCCATCTGTCTGTCTTGTTCTGGTCGCCACGCCCGCGTGTGTAGGAGGGGGTCAGCCAGGGAGCCAGTCAGTCAGTCAACTGATTGCCTGCATGGCATGGATGCCCACCGGGCACACACACACACACACACACATACACACACACACGCTTTAAGTCCATCGTCTGCCTGCCTGGACCGTCCCGTACCACTCTCTCCTTACCTCCTTTCTCTCTGCGCTTCTGCCAGGGGTCTGACGCGCCACACACCACACCAGAGGGGCTCGCTCCTCGCTCATCAGTTGCTTGTGCAGATTTTGACAGAAACATACATGGACGCACTCCCCCACCCCCTTGCGCGCGTCGCGTCGGGGGCGGTGCGGTGGCCGCTTTGTTTTCTCGGCGCTTCTATCTATCCATCAATCAAGATGTTTTCTTCCTCCCTCCTCACGGCTATTTGTCATCCATCCCATGCCTGGCCCATCCATCCATCCATCCATCCATCCGGCTGGCCGGCGCTTCTCTGCTTGCCTGCCTGCCTGCCTGCCTGCCTGGCTAGTCTTTAGATGCCACCCGAGAGAGAGAGACAGACAGACAGGCGGGGGGCTCACGTGCAGCGGCTTTCTATGCGTGTGTGGTTTTCCATCCTCACAAGCGGACGTCGATATGTTTGTTTCTTTCGTGCTTGTTTGTGTCTGTGTGAGAATGTTCGTAAGCTACTCCTACATACTGCAACATGCATGGCTGCATCCGTCCGTCCGTCCGGGTGGTTTTTGTCAGCACTCTGTGTGTGTGTGTGTGTGTGTGTTCCATTATGTGCTTCAATAATGTGTACGTACCCTTCTCGATGATGTTGATGGATGTGCCTTCCTTCCTCCTGCAAGCCTCCACTCCACTCACCACTGACTCACTCGCTCGCTCGCTCACTGACTGACTGACTGACGTACTTTGACTTGGATCAGATCCCCTGGTTGCTTGTTGCCTGAGTCTGTGTATGTCTCCATGCCATCCATGATGTGATGTGGTCGTGTGGTGTCCGTACAGACGTACGCGCACATTACAGTGAGTGCATCCATGTCCATGTGTGAGTGAAAAATGATACTAATTCAGTCAGTCTGAGACCATTCATTCATCCCCCACCCCCCACCCCAACCAGCCAGCGCCCCTTAATTCCCCAGAGCCACACACCCAAGCAACCAACCCACATCAACCCAGTAAGTATCTCAAGGAACCAAGCAAGCCTAGCCGACCCTTTCGTTCAGATCACAAATTGCGAGTCCCTCCGCACTCGGGGGACGCACCCACAGCACACATTGAAGTCGTGGCACATCCAGTAGTTCCGGGCCCTGTCCGCCTTGCCATAGTCGTATGGGCGCTCAGGGTCGTCGATGTAACGGAGGATCTTCTCGCCTGGGGCTCCCCCACTGGCAGCTGATCGATGTGACAGACAATGAGTGGATGAAAAGACCTGTTTCCGTGTTTCCCCCCTCTCCGCATGAGTCACCGTTTCACCCTCGCTCACCGACCGGTTCTGAGCTCATGGTTTTCGACAATCAGTCCTGACCCGGGCGCGTTGCCCTGCTGAATGCTCGGCTGGACCATGGGGTTCGGAGGAACGTTGGTCCCGGTCTCGGCCTTGCTGCCGGTCTCCTTCTTGCTGGTATCGGCGTCCATACTCCCAGCGGCCTGCGGCTCCATCTTTGCGCGCCGTCGTCCGAGTCGGTTCTCTTGCCCCCCAAGGGCCGCCTAGGGTGCTCCCTGAAACCGCTGCCAGTGGACAAACAGAATCGACAAGTAAGGCGCCGAGCGAGCTGAGCGCGATGCACGACCCCCACAGGTGACAGCGCTGTTGAAGGAGAATGGGGAGGTGTGTCCACATACATGAAGCATCCCATCATGGAACAGCATGAAGGTGAGTGAGTGGCTTGAATAAAGAAAAGGCACGGGACATCACAGGTCATGCAGGTGTGTGTGTGTCTGTGTGTGTGTGTGTGGTGTCGGGTGACCAACACGCAGCATGAAGCAGGCACGAGCATGAACAGGCAGAACCCAGGCAGACAACGCACGCAGCATGAAACAGGCACGAGGACGAGCAGACAGCACAGCACAACACAGCACAGCACAGCGCAGCACGAGCAAGCATGAAGAGGCAGAGCAGGTGTGGTGTGGCCGGGAGGTGCAGACTAAAACGATGGCAGGTCAGGGAGTGAACGCAAAATGACCGATGAGGAGATATGTGTGTGTGTGTGTGTGTGGAATCACTTCTTGTCCAGCTTCTTCTTGATCTCCTTGGCCTTCTCGATGTCGAGTTTGTTGGGGGCCACGCTCTTGAGGAGCTTGCCCAGAGCCGACTGGTCATCAGCCTTGGCGAGAGCCGCCCACAGCTGGACGGCGTCCTTGTCGTTTGCATCGATGGCGTCGCTGAACTCTGCACACAGAGAAGAGAGAAAGAGAGGGGCGTCGCTGTGTGGGAGGTATGTGTGGATGTGTGTGCGTGGCGTTTGTGTGCAGGTGATACCTTGCTCGATATCGTATAGGGAGCCGCGTTTGTCATGGTTTTGCCTGTGTTCTCTTCCACATGCCCGTCTGGGTCCTCTGTCGTTCTCTTCTCGGCCGTGAATGTTTCTTGGAACGTCTGTCTCATATGCACGCCGATTGGCCATGAAACACACCGTCTCGCACCTTGGGCAGTGACCGACTGACCGTCCGTACGAAAGCTACGCCATCCAAGCACTTTACTGCTGTCAGCAGACTCATAGCTGACAGAAAACAGTAACCGTAACGGTCACAGGGAAGACCTGGGTGATCATCCTCTCACCTGACGCTGCTGTGCCTACTCAAGAGGCTGACTGTCCTCTCACCTCCAACGCTCTCTGGCTATTGATCTGGCACACATCCATGAGAAGAATGACGAGGTAAGTCTGCTTGTATCGCCATGCTGTGTGTTTTTCACCCGAGCTCTGTTCGCCGTTGTGCGTGAGGGGCCTTCACACTGGGACTGATTTGAAGGGGGTGGGGGCTGCATGCGCTTTCCTGGCGTCTTCAAGTTTTCCGTGTGCGTTTGGCAGACTTTTTGCCGTCGGTCGATTGGCAACCCCGGAAGAACCGATCCGACGAACGAACGGGCGGAAAAAAAGTAGCCTGGAGCACTCCCCCCAGCTGGGTGCTTTTGGGGGGGTCGTGAAAAGCAGCCGCACAACAGGGATGGGGGCCGGCCAATCTCGCGCCACTCTTGTTTCTCGAGTTGAAACCGCTGTGAGGGAACTGGAGGTCCACCCCCCTAACCTGTCGGAGCTGTCCTACGATTCTCTCCTGCTGCTTGACACTTGCCTCGATCCTGACGGCTCGGTCAAGGACACGCGCACGTTCCTGCACTACCTGGAGGCACACCATCAGCTCGAACAGATTCGACTGAAGGCGAGGAAAGGGGAGGATTACAAGGCCTACATCGCGAGGTAGGTGACTGACACTTGGGCGTGAGAGGGAGTGACTGACACCATCCCATCCATGCGTTGTGTCTTGTGTTGTGTTGCGGTGGTTTCAGTCTGGCCTCGGGGGATTTCGGTGCGGGCGCTGGTGAGACTGTCCCTCCCTCGGCGGGGGGGTCCCCCGAGGCTGCTTCCTCCCATCAGTCACACGGGGGAGACCCAACGATGATGCACACTGACGACGAGTTCAGAAAGCGACGCAAGAACGAGCAGGATGGCGACATTAGCGAGCCGGCAAGGGCAACAACACAGCAATAGCCGGACGTGGCAGGACGTGAGCATGCGACGTGCAGAGGCACGTCACACGGGGATGTGCCATTGTCGTGGATGCGTGTGTGTGCAGAATGGCGACCATTCTCAGCAGCGCAGCACGCCTGAGCAGAAGCCGTCCGTCCACCAGGAGAGGGCAAATGAGGTACGCAGGTCTGCACCCACATACAGCTTCGACACACGTGTCACGTTTCAATGTGCACACACACACAGGTCGCCCTTCTACGCCCCCCTGCCCGCCCCGTCATGCCAATCGATGCGCCTCACGACCACGACCACCACATTGGCCACACGGCGTGGCACGCGAGCGACTTTTGAGCACGAGGCCAAGCGCATCCGCATACATACCGAGACACACACCGCTGTTGCTGCTGGGGGGGAGGGTGGGGTAGTGATGGGGATGGGAGACCGGTGCGGATGGTGATAGAATGGATGGATGAGGGCTGATTGATGTGTGTATTGACTCATCCATGGAAGGTTGGTGGATGTGATGTGCGTGGTGTGATATGTGTGCAGGTGTGTACGGACAATTCATCATCATGCCCAGACGTAACATTCAGATGGAGTCGTGCAATGGGAGTCGTGTCCTGGGTCGTGTCGTCGTTTTACGCTTTTTATACCAATGATAGCCCAGCACAGCCAGGCAGCACACTCCAGCAGTGCAGCCCTGCCAGGGCAATCATGTGACGCGCCGGGAGCGGCAGAGAATCGGTCAATAACGCACCGGAATGCCGTCTCAGAGCCCCCCACCGCTGATGAGCACTGCAGAGAAGCAGTGCAAGGCATCAGGGCAGCTCAGCCCTGCCACGGCAGCAGGCTGGCGTGACGAGGGCGGTAGAGGAACGGTGGAAGGGGCGCGTCCTTGCCCCCACAGGCCCCCACAGAATGATCCGCCGAGTCGTCTTCCCAGTGGTTGGTGGCCCGGTTTCTCCAGCCGTGCCGACGCTAGTATACTAAGTTGCCGTGGTCGAACGCGGAATGGATGCGTCGTCTGGCAGCGAAGCGGCGCCTGTGTGTGCCAAGACAGTGCCTGTAAGGCACAGGTACAAGCGTCAGTCGACGCTGTCGTATCGCATGAAGAGGACGCCCACCAAGAGCGAGAGCCAGAACCTGTCGCCTCTGCACGACAAGACGCCCATGTACTACCAGAAGATCAAATCGACCGAGATGGGTGGGCCTGTACGTAATTGCCATGCCGTCTCCTCTTCCTCATCGTTCTCTCTGTTGTTTGGTTGGCGTCCGCCTGTCTGTCTATGCGTCTGTCTGTCTGTCTGCCTGTGTGTGTGTGTGTGCAGCGAATTCCTGTGAGTGCATCATTGAGGTACGGGCACACGCAGCGCAGTGCAGTGCATGCCATTCGATCATTGCAGACAGATAGATGGCCACCGCACTGCATGCCACACCCACCCATTCCCACTCCTGCCAGATGTATGAGCTGCTGTGGCGGCTGAGCAACTCCATCCGAGGGTTCGGCCACTTCTACCGCCGCTTCGGCTTCCGCCTCCCACACACAATCGTTATCATCCGGGGAAAGCTCTACGCATGGTACTTCTCCTCAGCCAGAGACGGTGAGTGAGTGCGGTGAGTGAGTGACACCAAACACGCGTTCGTTCCTCAATCACGGTCGAATCATGTCTGTCGATGGTGTTTCTTTGCGCCTGCAGGGTCGATACTGCGCAAAAGACCGGAGAGTCTGAATTTTGATGCGGTGTTGACCGCCCTGTGCTACGACAGAACTCCACCAGGGCGGGCGGACGTGGCCGCTGTCTGGCTGCCGGGGGCATCGTAAGGAAGGAGACACAACAAAACGACACGCACGATGGGTGGGCGGTATGTAAAGACAGACACGGGGCGGGCGTGTTCTGTGCAGGCAGTTTCCCGAGGACCGGTGTCCCATCAGGACCGCCGATTTCCTCTCGTCTGATAGTGTCAAGTGAGTGCGCAACCTTAGCAGAGGGCCGGCGGGCGGGCGGGCGAGAGACATGTCCTTGTGTTCTTTGTGCAGGCGATTTGTGCATGGCAAGCTGAATGAGCGTTTCTCTGGGTAGGAAGGACAACAGACGGTCTGCTGCATTCATTCCACCCACGCTAATGGTCTGCCTGCCTGACCTGCTTCGCTTCTCTGCATCCTCCGGTCTCTCCTGCGCAGCGTGCTGCAGCAGTTTGTGTACCCTCCCGGCGTGTTCAACGTTTTGCTCAGATCTGTCAAGTCCGTACGCACTCACTCACACGAGCGGAGGGAGAGACACGCACTTACGGATGTGTACCTTGCCTTCCCGTGTGCTGTGCTCATGTCTGCCTGTAGGTATGACAGCGTGACTTCGCTTGCTTATCGCTCGAATCGGTAAGTAAGAATGAGAGACCTCCCACCTCCCCACCCTTCTTGGTGTGTTGTTGCATCATGTCTCTGCGCATGCCTTTTCAACAGCTATTTGATGACCCAGAGCAGCCTGCCGATTTTCTGGCGATGCGCGACATATGAGGGATGGGAGGTGACCGAGCCACCGCCAGACGGACACCGAGCCCACCACCCATCTGCTTGCTGCATGTTTGTCGGTCAGGGTCTCAGCTGTGAGAGATCGGCGCGCAAGACGCTCTTCCAGCCGGCTGTCGAGGTACACTTACTGGGGGCTTCTGATACACGTGCAGGCACAATCCGTTTGTGTGTCTGTGTGTGATGTGTGCAGCAACAGGCTGGAGCGGCATCTCGTAAGGTGTTTGAGCGTATCGAGAAGGACGACATGAAGGCCATGCTCTTCCTTTCCGACAATGACTATATCGCTCTCCACTACAAGGCACGCACCATGCATCTCAGCACACCGACAGCTGTGCGTGTACAGTACTGCGTCATTCACTTGTGTGATGGATGGATGGATGGATGGATGGGCCAGGTCGGTGCTGACGGCCTCCTTTACTTCTCGTTCGCCTCTCTGCTGGGCGAGAAGGAGGCCAGGCAGCACTGCCACATGGACCTCATCATGGAGAGCCAAGTAAGCAAAACCTCGACATGGAAATGAATGTCAGTGCTGCTCTACATGGCATCAGTCACATGCATCTCGTGTGCATCACTTTACTCAGGTGCTTGCTGAGCCGTACCTCTGGTCCAGGAGGAAAAGAAAAGGCACGCAAGAGGACAGCCACCACTGGCACTATAGGTACATATACGGTGTCTGCTTTGTGGTGCAGTCAAGAGCCGATTCTCGACTCTCGTGCCAGCCCGTGAGCCCAGCCTCCCCTCCCCCCTCCTCACGGCGCGCCTCTCTACCGATATGAGGACCGCAGAGGCCGACCTGCCCCCATCACCCGCCACAGCGCGTGACCAGCCTGATGGAGACAGAAAGGGCACTGACAGTCCTGCCTTCAGGCGGCCGACACTCCTGCGCCCCTCCCGGGCAGACTCGATTGAGAAGACCGAGCAGGCCACGCTGGAGGCGGCGTTGGTCCCTGGCGGTGGCCAGGAGGGCTCCCGGCTGTCCCTGGTGGAGGATGGCAGCTCAGGTGTGCAGGTTCAGAGAGTGAGTTGGCAGCCACACATGTTTCACTTGAGTCCGCTTGAACATCGAAAACGATTATCCGCAGCCATGTTGGCGGACGACAAGCCACCCGTGCTCGAGAAGCCGTCGCAACCGTCGGCCCGCCTGCTCAAGCCGCCTGGGGGGAGACGGGAGCGGCCTCTCTTTTCGAGCACGCTTACGGAGAAAGTGCCCTTGCTGAAGCTGGCTTCCTCGCCACCTGTGGCGATTGAGGTCAGGGCTAGTGCGAGGCGAAGGTCAAGCCAGGAGAAGGAGAGATTCACCACCACTGCACGTAAGTAAGGTTCATCATAGGACTAACGGGGGAGACATTGTTCTCCACTCTCGGTCGTGTGTTCAGCTGTGTCCGTCGAGCGGGGGCCGCCATCTGCCCCCGCTCCAATGCCGGTGCGGTTGCCCAAGATGCTGCCAAAGATGGAAACGAAGCCACCATCCATTCCGGTATGTGTTCAGACACGATCGTCAACTGACTGATCGTGAACTGACTAATCGTGGGCGTGGATGGGTGCATGGTCGGGTGCAGGAGGTGCGTGTGCTGCCGCCGAGGCCAGCTGACATAGCGCCAAGAGCCACATCACTCGCGAAAAATCTATATCGACCAGATGAGATATGACGTGTGGGTGCGTGTGTTGGCGCGTGGATGGGTACGTGGATGTCATATTGCGGACTTTATTCACAATTCCATGCGGATTCCTTCCCTTCACATCATACCTCAGAAGTGTCAATATGTGCATGCAGGCTGCGTGCATGAAGCCGGAAGCCATCATAAAAAAATGATGGGGAAAAATCCAAGAGTAGCCCTACCACCCTACACCCCCATCCCAAAGCACCCAACCTCCCCCCCAATCCTAAGCTTTGCAGTAGGAGAAATCTGACAACGTGGCTTTCGAGCTCCGCGGTTCCCTTCGCAGGTTCTCGCGCATCTTGTAGGTCGCCTCGTCCCCCCCGGCGATAGGTCCCTTAGTATCCTTGGATAGACACCCGCACGCTCACACGGGATTGGCGGCATGGCGACAAGGCGTCGAGGTGATTGCGTGCATGGATGTGCAATCGTGTGGTGTGGTCTGAATGACATTCTCTTCTCACCACCAGTTGTACATCAAATGAGCCGGCTGCTCCCCGTCAAGCCAAATTCGCATCTTGTTCCTGTGCGGAGACACACAGACAGACAGGTGTAGCCACATCACATGTACTCGTTCGTGTAGGAATGAGTGAAGTTGACGTGGCCTGCCTCACTGACGTACTCTATTTTGGTGGCGAATTCCTTCAGGGTGCAGTCGCGGTTGCCGCACATCGACACCTTCTCACCATTCAGGTAGATTTAAATGCAAGACAGAAGAAGAAGAGAGGACAAGGAAGCGCGACTGTCCATCCACACGACCGGCGATTAATCTCGGCTGGGCGAAACAGCCGAGCCAGTCAGACCTACCTTGATGACGTGTTGGATGGCCTGGCCTCTCTTGACCTCCCAGAGCTCCCAGAAGAGGCTTGCCGCAACTGAAACAGAGATGGGGGCAGGGAGGGAGGGAGAGACATGTGAGGGCAGACGGGGGCAGCCATTTCGCTCACAGCGAGGAGCTTCCCCCCGGGCCAAATCCATGACGCTGAGCGCCGAGAGTACGTTGCCATCATGACCAGACAGAAGAATGAACTTCACCTTGTTGCTGACAGACACCACCGACCGACCACACACAAAGAGCACACAGACATATACACACACAGCGAAGGCCGGTCGTATTGATGTGGGTAAGCCAAGCCACTCCAAACGACCTACGGGTCCATCTCTGAGAGGGCGGCGCTCTGCAAAGGAACACATCACGTCACACAACAAGCGTGCACTGCATTTGGTGATGCGATGGGTGCCTATCCCTCTAGTCGAAAAGGCTGCTTCTCGTTCTTTTCGTTCTTCTCTATTACCCGGCTGTGAAGAAATTCTTTAAGATCTCCCATTAAGCGGGTGGACGACGCGCAGCGGGTGTATGCTCGTGCGCGAAAGATGCCGACGATGAACTCGAAGAGCAAGCTGCTCGCAACACGAGGGAAAAACTACACACAATGGAGAGACGCATAGGCCGGTGTCTCTCCCCAGCTCGACGGATGTCAGAAATGAGTGAGTGGACAGACCTCATCATCCCAAGCGAAGGTGAACTGCCCAAGGAAGGACAACAAGGACACACACAAAATGAGACACGTCAAAGCACCGTCCCCTCTGTCCACCCATCCATCCATCACCTTCGTGTCGATCGCGTTCAGACATTCGCTGAATGCACACAGAAAGATGGGTAAGCAGTGGGGTGCGGTGCAGTCGGCCTGTGCCACTCATTCACGTACTCGATGAGCTCCGGTTCTATCTTGAAGGGAGGGTTGCGGCCGTCAGCCTTGTAGGCTACGTAGATGTCGCCCACGTCGGAAAGCCGCAGATAGGGCGTGACGAATGTACAGTACTCCTGTATGACCTGGACAAAGGGACACACAACTACTGACTGGTGAGGGCAGTTTGAGGGTAAGTCAGTCAGTCAGTTACCGTGGGGGGGCCGAAGTGTTCTTCCAGCGACCTGGACTCGGCAAGGTGCTCGTTGCTCACCTCGGTAAAGGTCTGATGGAAGAGTGCATCTATGTGGATGCGCCATAGGCAGGACCGTGCCTTGCTTGCCTTGTTGAAGAGGTGAGGTAGAAACTTTTTCGTGCGTCGTATCTTGCCAGCATAGACGTCCATGACTTCTCGTCCACACATCGAAAGGCACAGACGGACATCAGACAGCAGCAAGTAAGCCGATCGGCATTGTGTTCACTCCGTTTTCAATGCGACTCACAGAACTGCGCAGCTGGACTCGGCTTGTACAACATCGGAAACCCGTGCTGCTGCCGCCACACTTGCTCATAGCCGTCACAACCGAATGCTGCACATACGGCCAGCCGAGGCTTATAAAAGGCAAACACGAACGACGGAGGTCTTACTGCTTACGTTCCACCGCGAGGATCAGGTGGTCATTGAGCTTGTCGGCAGAGAACACCGGCACATTCTCGGATCCGCCCTGACAGTGTTCGGGCGGAGCAAGTCATCTCCACAAGACACCATGAACGTCGGCTTGACATAGTACCTGGCCGACGTTCAGGTGCAAGACCTCGGTGCTTAAGACGTCCTCCAGGTCCAGGCCAGTGTCTTCGGCAAACTTCCGCAGGTAGTGCGGGGTCAGCAGCTCTCTCACACGGTGGCGTCCGGCGCCAACCACGTCACGGATGCGCTTGCCGGTTGGGGAAGTTCCTGTCCTGTACACCGTGTGAAGCGTCTCTTTCTGGAGAGGGTTGAGTCGCTTGCCTTTGCCTGAAGTGAGTGACGACAATAGACACACCGGCAGGGAGAGAAACGAGACATGGATGGCACGTAAAGGAGTAAGTGCAGGCTGTGTGCATGGGACCAAAGACATAGAAGCCTGTTGGGTAGAGGCCACTCATCTGTGCATTGGCGCTCATCATGGACCGCCATGTGCTGCTGGCTCGGACGAACACCTCTCCAGGCTCGTAAGATGGACTCAGAAGACCCCTGAATGGACGAACAACACACAACCATTCATTGCTTCATTCTCCTGGTATCTGTTTCCCATTCGTGTTGGCGATCTTCCTGGCATACACACCCCCACTTACAGGGCTGTGTACTTTTCCCTGACGATTCTCCCAAGGATGTAGTGCTGGATCTGACCCAGTTCGCTGAGGTATTGCCGACCGCCGATCCAGTCCTTCTCAGCATCCTTCAAAGAGTGAGTGGCAAACGTGTAAGGCGCGCGGGCTCCCTGAGTGGATATGAGGCATGGACAGGCAACGAAAACCACACAGCCAACACAGACATACGAATGACGGACTCCATCCATCCACTCATACGTACGTGTCGGCACAGCTCGATTGCCAGGATGATCTTTTTGGACGTTTCCTCCCCTTTCGGCTGCTGGACGAACGAGGACCCCCACTCGTCGCCCGTCAGCGGACAGGATGCGTCTTCACAGCTCTGCCTCTCGCACTCCTCCGCATCTCGCCCGAAAGACCAGAGGGATGGGCCCTCATGTGTGCTGGCGATGGGCCGTGTGTCGTGGTGGATGAGCCTGATGCCGCCGTGGATTGACGATATGTTGGTGATGGACGCATCAAAGTTATCCGTTGTGCCATCTGCATCGCATGACAGAAATGCATCCATGTGTATCTGGGAGTGCAGCCACTTCTCATGTGGATGAGTGGTCGACAGTGCATCGGTGCAGTGCGTACCGGCGAACACCAGGCGGCTGCCGTCCTGTATGCGCCTCGCTTGGCATTGCCAAGGTAGAACGAGGACGACGATGAGCACAGCCGCTGCATTCATCGCCGAAAAACCTGACAACATCTCTTGCCTCGTCCCCCGTAAACACTCGACATTGCCTTAGTGCACCCGTGTACCGCCTGTAGGCGAGACCCATACGTGCAATTTGATTCGACTTAATCGACGTGTGAGCCGCTGTGAAGCACGTCAAAGCAAGATCTACACCTTCGCGTGCGGCCGAAAGGTGAAGATGCTGAGAGGTGTCTTTGTTATGCTTTGCGCCATCGGCGCAGTATCATCGCATGACGTATGAAGGCTCGTGATGGACGCAGTTGGCTGACTCATCTATCTCATGTCATGTTGTTATGTTGCGAGTGTGCGTTGCTGCAGGCCTTCATCAGCCCTTCAGCCTCTCACATGGGCCTCCGTCACGCTCTCCGCCGCGCGCCATCATCGTCACTGCTCAAGATGACGGCCGATGAGTCGTCCACTCTCCCACGCAGGCGGATGCTCTCTATCGCTCTCGGCTCACTTGTCGCCCCTTCCCTGCTGGCCTCTCCGAGCCCTTCATCGGCCATCAGTTTGCCCTTCTTCGAGAGCGAGGAGCAGAAAATCGAGAGGGCGGTGGGTGAGATCGCCGACTACCGTCCGTATGTGCTCAAGATCCTGGACAAGCTCAAGACAGGCAAGCTCAAGGGCGGGACGTACGACAGCGGCACGGTGGCCAACTTCTTAGGCATCTACTACAGGTCAGGTTGGTACCTAGTGGATGTCTGACATGTCAGTGTGGGTTGGTGGACAAGCCTCACTCTGCTCTCGCTCTGTTGTCTGTCTGGCTGTCTGTCTGTCTGTGTGTGTGTACTAAAGGCCCATGCAAGAGGTACCGACGGGACGGGAGGCAGGGAAATTAGTTCTCCTTGATGTGTGCGTGTGTGTGTGTGTGTGTTAACACAGAAAATGGAGACCTTGTCTGCCAAGATTGACCTCGAGGACACGACCAAGACAGAGCGGCTCCGCCTGCTGCCTCTGCTGCTCAAAGGCCATCTCGCGGAGCTGCGAGAAGCCGTCATCTCACAAGTCAGTGAAGGCCTTACCGCTGCGCAAGGGAGTCGTCATAGCCTGCAGGTGTGTGTGTGTGTGTGTGTGTTGCAGCGTCCCGAGCGTCAATTAGAGGAGGTTGAGGAGGTGGGCGAGACGCTCAACGAGTTCCTCACCCTGGCCTCAGCCAAGTACACCATCCCACCCATCCCCGTGCCCCCAGGTGGGGGGGTCACCACATCGCATCACATCACATCACATCACATATATCTGTGAGAGATGCCGCATGGATGCGATCTGTTTCGTATGCATTGCTCAGATTTCAACCCTGAGAAAGACTACTACGGTCGGTCAAATGGATGATCCACTGTGGAAACACGTCACAAAAGCTCCAAAAGCTCTTCTCGATTACATTGCGACTCCTGCAGGCATCTTTGGCTGCGAGTTCTGGGGCAAGCGACGGCTGCCTGAGAGCAACCGATGCGAGAAGTGATCGATCGGTCAATGAATGGAGAATGACTGATCTGATCTGACGGCATGATTGCAGCTTCCCCCCCAGCTGGTGCAATGCGGTGCAACGTTCATGCATGTGTGCCGGCCTATGTGGTTTGTGCAATGAAGTTCGACTCGTGAACTGGCGATGCCTGGACTTACTGCGATCAATGGTCCCCTTCATGTGCTGTGCAATTCACTCAGTCAGTCCGTCCACTCTGCTCGGCTCACAGACGAGAGCAGTATGTCTGCCGGAGCTAGCTGCTGCTCTGCGTGCATCCCATTCCCCATGCACGGATTCGGTCACTAGCCTTTACACAGAATGAATGCATCAGCCGTGCGGCAGCGGCACCAGGTCGGCCTTCTGCAACATGGCCGCAGCGTGCCCCACCCCCTGCACACACAACACACAGACACACATACATGCGCACGCTCGTGTGCCCACTCGCTCAGATCGGACAGACGATGTCTGCGCGCATCCTTACCATCGGACTGACCCCAGCAGCAGCAGCAGCAGCAGCACCATGGTGGTGTGCCACATGTGCATGTCCCGGATGCGCCGCAGCAGCTGCAGCGGCGCCAGAATGAGCAGCCACAGGGTCAGGGTGGGTCCCCTGCGACATTGGGGGGATGGCATGCGCGTGTGGGTCCGGCTGGTGCAGATCTGCGCGAGGGGCACCGACGTGCTGTGGAGATGCGTGTGGCGGGGGGTGGTCATGATGGCCATGGGGGTGCAGCTGTTGCTGCATGGGGTGGGCCGCAGCATAGGAGTTCTGCACCATATGGCCGTCCTTGGACACGTACAGCCACCCGCCGCTCCCGTACACGGGCGACCTGCGGACAAGGAGAGGGGAGGGGAGCACATTGCGTTGTCCGTGTGCGTGTCGTCTGTTCTTCGGTACGTGTCTGTCTGTCTCCTGCTTGCTCACTTTGCCAGCTGGTGGCACAGATCGACGGTCTCGCAGATGATCAAATTGAACAGCAGACGCTGCAGGGCAAGCGACACACACACAGAGAGACCCATGTTGGGTGGCCGTCTTGCTGCCTGAGCGTGCTGTGCTCGGTATCTGTGTACCTCGAAGAACATGCTGATGTGCGGTGTGTGGAACTGGCACACCTGCACGGCCGGCCACACGCCGTCACCAGTGGGCCGCGGCAACCTGATGGATGGATTGATCATATCATCCTTGCAAGCAAGAGACGGCACGGCACGGCCTCTTCTCTTCTTTTTGTCTGTCTGTCTTTACATACAAGCGTTTGGAGTCGATGTCGGGGTCGCCGACCTGGTCGGTCACCCTCACGAACGTCAACACGGGCAACACCACCTGCTGCTCATGCAGAAAACTTATCGCCTTCTGAAGTGAGTCAACATACCCAAACACACACACGTGCACCTGGCTGTCACATCATGTGTGTGTCACCTGCCTGCCTGTCTGTCTGTCTGTCTGTCTGACCATGGCAGCTTCATGTGTCTCGACGAGCACGTGTCGCGACCAGTGGTGGAGGCAGGTATGGATGGCCACACGGAAGTCCTCGCGCACAGGCGCCACGCAGTCGGGGACGAGGCCGTAGACGCCAGGCACACGCTCGCACAGCTGCTGGATGGCCACACGCAGATGATGCTCCTCGGAATGGGCATCCTACACACACACACACACACACACATCTCTGTGGCTGTGGCTGTGCGCGCGCCTCTCTCTCTGTGTGGGAGGGAACACTCACATCAGTGAAGTAGAGGTTGGCGTATGGGTCAGGCTGCTGCTGCTGCTGCAGCTGCAGCTGCAGTGCCGCCATCTGAGCACACGGGCAGCCACAAACAGGATAATGAATGCGTCACTTCCCTTAACGCTTGTGTTTCGTTGGTTTGTTGCATACATGTTTCTCGCAAGCGGCCCTCTCCTGGTCGAAGGTGGCCTTGCCCTTGGCCCCCCCTTCCAACATGCGATCCACCTGCCAGAAGGCCCCCAAGTCCTCCTTGCAGCCCTCCAGCGAATGCCGCAGCACCTGCTTCACCATCGACACCTCCACCCCATACTCCTGCGCCAGGCTCGCCTCCACCTCCTCGGTCATGCGCTTCTTGAGGTACCCGTCGTGGAGCCGCTGGATGAGCCCGGCTGTCATCACCTTGGGCCCCACACGCTGCGAGAACGGCTCGGCCTCCACCTGGGCCATCGCAACGCTGTGGCGGCCGCGGCCCTTCACCTGGCGCTTGGGCAGCAGCTGGGGACGCACGCCGGCCATTGGCAGCCGCTTGCGTTGCTGCTGGTGGGGGATGAGGTGGAGGGGCGGGTGAGGCTCCTGGCTGGATGACGCAGCTGCCGCCGCCGCTGAACTGGGTGCGTTGGCTGCGTCTAGTCCGCCGGTGTGGGTGAGAGGGATACGGACGGGGGAGGGGTCGGCGGGCATGGAAGGCTGGTCTTGCGCAGCAGAGGCCTGACATTAAACCAGAGAATGTGCTGTGCGTCGCATCAGTGTGGTCAACCAGAGAATGTGCTGTGCGTCGCATCAGTGTGGTTCGTGCGTGTGTGGATGTGAGGACGGACGGGTTGCTTTGCTTACGTCTTCTTTCTTGGCAGCAGATCGGCGGTATCGGTCGGCGAACGGCTGGGTGACGTCCTCGAAGAGGGCCGCCGCCAGCCTGGTGCTGTTGCACCAAGCCACCTGCTGACCCGACGCCCTGACCATAGCCAATCGCACAACACAACACAACACAACACCCCCACTCGTCCGTGTCCATCTCGTGTATTGACTGTGCCCGCTCCCTCCCTCCCTCCCTCCCTCCCTCCACCCTTAACTCACTCGGCCGCAGCGACCTGAGCCCTGTCAGGGTGGGAAGCGTCGACGTACCGCACCTTGAGCACCACCACACTGGGGTCCTCCCACGGCTCCCCCGCCGTCTGCTTGTCCGCCACCCGCCCCCCATAGGCCTTGTCCGCGTCCTTGACGGTCTTGTGCACCATGATCCTCGCACTGGCCCCCTCAACGATCACATGGGAGTTGTTGATGACCACGTGCCGCACCGAGATGGGGATGTACTTCTTGTACGTGTCGCCGCCGGTGCGGAAGCCGCTCTGCGGCTCGGAGAAGATGAGAAATCGCTTCGGCTCGCGGCCCTCCTCACGGGCGTACTTGAGGACCTCCTCGCGGATGTCCTTGGCCGTGGCGTCGGACTCGACGAGTGCCGCGAAGGCCTGCCGGATGAGGGTGCGGTCGGCGCCCTGCCGCATACTCCTCTCGAGAGTGTCCTTGGGAGCGGTATCGAATGCGGGCCTGGCAAGCTGCCTCGACGCGTTGGCCTCTCGCCGGTTGAGTGGCTGCTGCTGCTGCGTCGCTGAGGCGCCTGCGATGTCATGTTGAAGAGAGCTCATCATCGAAGGGTCCATCACATCACCTGCAGCATAACACAAAACACCGTCAGACAGAGAATCAACTGGAGTCAGTCGTTTCGCGATGAAGAGAATCTCGCCCACCCGAAGTTCTCGACGAGAAATGACCACAGGAGGATTTGACGGTGAGGCTCACTTCGGCGTCATCAGCACACTCACACGCAATGCGCTTCCTTCCCGATGGGATCGCTGATGCGCGCTTGGAAGGAAAGCGACTGAAGAAATTGGTCTTTTTCGCAGGCAGATCTGGCGCTGATGGGGTGCCTGACGATGTTGCAAGGCCTTTGGTGTGCACTCAAAATGAGTGCACTCATTCATTCTCGAGGCGCGGGAGCGTTCGATGTGTTGGCGATCAGCAGTCCATTCAGCCATCTTCACGCGCCGCTTGACATCGGTGCAGAGCTGCAGAGGCGTGGACACACTGTAATCAATGAAAGGAAGGAAACAAACTAAGACTACATATAAGCTGGATGCCTATTCTCTCTGTCTTTCTTCTCTCTCTGCTCCAGGTCCGAGTTGCCACATCTGAGCCGCTCGGCAGAAGCAAAGTGGAGAACAGGTGCATCCGCCTCCACGATCCATGATCGCTTGCCTTCCAGATGTGAGTGACCCTCTCCCTCTGTGTGCGTCGTGTGTGTGCGCGTGTGTGCCGCAGGACTTACTTTCGTTTCGCTTGGCGTGCTAACCCAGGAGGACATGACAGGGGGGGCCGACCCAAACCGCGTGAGAAAGGCAGACAGACAGGCAGTAGATGGGATGGTCGCTCATGGTCGCTCGCCCACCAGAGCACATGCCATGCCGGCCCTCACGGCGTGTCTGTTGTCTTGTTCATTCAGGTTGGCCTGCGGAGCTTCTTGGACATCATCACAGTGTTCAGAAACCTGAACAAAGCGCTGGAGAAAGGTCTGGAGAAGCACTTCCCACTCAACGGGTCGCACGCGACGCATCTGCCCGACCTGGTGCTGGCGGGCATAGGGGCATCGGCCGCGTTCGATTTCGCGTTCGAACGCGAAATCCCTGCCGTCTACTCACACCCTACTGTGAGCTTGGTGCCGATGCTCTCGCCGCCATGGCCGTATCTGCCGCCCTTTATGACGGGCTTCTCGTATGATGAGCCGACGGTGCTGCAGCGGGTGGCGAAGATGGTGTACTTTGCGGTGGTGAGTATGGTGGGCGAGCGGCTAGAGTTTCCTTTCACTTACCTCATGAGCAGGTGATGAGCGATGCGATCTCAGTCAGAGAGATGATCCATGGATCCATGGCTGGATGGATGGATGGATGGAGGCGTGTGGTGGGTGTTTGGATGCAGGCGGGCGAAGTCTGTCCTGAAGATGGTGCACTCCTTCCCTGGCCTCGATTATCCCTTCCACACGCCGCCACTTTTGCAGTATACCGGCGCCCTGCTGCGGCCAGAGAGCCTCTCGCCAGACCGACTCGACCCCTCTGTGCGCAAATGGCTCGACGCCTCGTCTCTCCCGGTCGTCTATGTCAGTTTCGGTTCCCTTCTGCACATTGAGGAGCGCATGGGCCATACACTGATGGAAGCCTTCAGTGGACCGTCCCCACGGCCTTATCGGGTGCTGTGGGCGCTGGGCGAGAAACAGTGGGCCGAGTTGCCCCCGAGAGACCAGTGGCCGTCGGAGGATGTCTTCCACCTGGCGACCTGGGTGGCCACCCCCGCTGCTTTGGCCCATGAAAAGGTGAAGGTGTTCCTATCGCACTGTGGTGCAAATGGCGTCCATGAGGCCATCTACGCGGGCACACCCATTGTCGGGATTCCGCATTTTGGCGACCAGCTCGACGTGGGGCTGCGCCTGAAACGGGCGGGCGTCGGACTGATGCTCGACCGGCACACCATGACGGCAGCCGACGTGCGGCACGCCATTGCTGAGGTGATGTCCAACGCCTCCTTTGCTGAGAGGACGGCACACCTGCAGGCGACAATGAAGCTCTATGGAGGGGTGGAGAGAGCCGCTGGTGCGTTTGTGTTCGTAAGGGGGGAGGCCATGCCACCCTCTCTCTGCTCGTCAGTCATTGTGTGTGTTGGTGTGTTGGTGTGTGCTGTGCTGTGCTGTGTTGTGTTGTGCCGTGTCCCATAGATTTGGTGGAGTACGTGTATTCTATGGGCGGCGACCTCAGCCACTGGGAGACGCCGGCCGAGCGGCTGCCCTTCTATCGGGCGCTAGGTCTGGATCTCATCGCTGCTGCATGCTTCCTGGTCAGCTAGCTGCGTGACCTTCCGTGTATTTATTGTATGCAGGCGTTGCAGATTCGTTGCAGATAAATCTGGGCAGGGCACATGGTGTGTGTGTGTGCATCTGCAGGTGTCTGTGAAGGTGGTGCTGTTTGGCGCCTGTTTGAGGCGCCTCTGCTGCTCGCGCAGATCAGCCGCCGTGTCAAAACAGAAGGCTGCGTGAGCCCGACTGAGTCTTCGACTTAAGTGCTGGTACACGCCCACATCCTTAAATCTTCACGGATGTATGTAGCTTCGTACCGACCGTTTGTGCGCGTGTGTTTGTGTGATGTGACGTGGCGGCCATGTATTGTGTCTTTCATGTGGAGCACCGTGCAGTAAATTGATTTATCCGTGTGTTAGTTACATCCATGAATTGGATGCCTTAATTCTTTTGGTGAAGCTCCGGTTTGTCAGAGAGGGTGGGTGTGGAGTCAGTCAGTCAGTCAGACAGTCAGTGACGCAGACAGACAGGCCATGGAGGGCATGCTGTAGGCAAGCGTGGGGTGGCTTGTCTTGTCTGCCCTCTGGAGAACTACTACCTACACAGACCCTCCTCCTCCTTCATCTCTCTACACCATTCATCCATTCAATCTCTGAATTGTATGTGTCTCATCGATCAGTCACGCCTTCCCCGCCCTCCTTGTCGACACATGTCATGTCTCTCTCATCAACCCGACTCAGCCTCACTGAGTTTCAACCTGCACAGAGAGCACCAAGCATGGATGGCAATCACACACAACACATGAATGACACACCGCAACACAACGCACATCATCAACACGGCCGCCCCCTGCTGACCTGACATCTTCGATGGACACCAGTGGCGGCGGCCTGCCCTTGACGTCATGCACCTTGCTCGGCAGCACCACCGTCACGCTCCCGTGCATCCTCACCGTCGGAGGCGCCTTGCCCAACCCCACACTCGACGACAATGCAGCAGAGTCGTCTTGCGCCTTCGCCGCCGGCAGCAAGGCGGCCGAGAGGCTCTTCATCGACATGGAGGAGGTGGTGTCTGTGGCCGGCTCGTCCTTGCTGCTTGTCGACGCATCGGGGCCTTGGGATGACTGGGGGGAGGGGAGGCCGTTCTGCTGCTGCTGTTGGGATTGTGCGTCGGACGGCCGCTCTTGGTCTGTTGGGTGTGGGGCTGGGGCTGCTGGTGGTGGTGGTGGGGGTAGGTCTTCGTCGGTGTCCATCAGCCGCACTGAGTTGTAGTGCTCCTGCACACGACACACACAGAGGGAGGAGGGAGAGGTGGTATGCGCTGATAGCATCTGTGTGTGCCTTGTGGCCCACCCCAGAGTGATAAGACAGCATCACACACTGATCGCTCTCGGGAAAGTTGACCATCTGACACACACACACACACACGAGTCCACACACACATCCAATCATATGTGTCCACCGCCCGCCTCTCTTGGTCTCTCACGAACCTCGGTCACTCTGAACTCTGGCGGTGCGTTGGGGTTGGCGGCCTTGCCCGCGACGGCCTCGAGTGCATTGCTGCTGGGCGGGAGGCTGCACTGGTGGATGACGACGTTGACGCGGTGCATGAGGCTCATGACCTGCACCTCAAGCTGGCCCGCCCACACGCTGTCCAGACGCATCCTGAACAATGACAGACACACAGAATTCGTCGTGTGATGCTGCCTGCGGTGTGGTGTGGTGTGGTGTGCTGTGCTGTGCTGTGTTGCGCTGACCTGCCTGCGTATATCTCGAATGGTTCGTTGTCCTGCGAGAGAACCGGCCGTACCACAAACATCACGATGATGCGACACGACAGGTGATCTGATCTGATCGGTATCTGTGCTCTTACCTCGATGAATGGCTCGAACTCGCCCCTGTGCTCCGTCATGTAGTTGACCTGCACCGCACCGCACCGCACCCACCGATGCGATGCGATGCACCCATATGTATAACCCTCGCCCTCCCTTCCCCATATGTCTGTCTTGGGTGTGTTTGTCGTGTCGGTCACGTCACTCACACATGCCTCCCTGAACTCTGGATGGGCCGTCGGGTCGCCCCGCAACTGGTCACCAAACACCTGCAGACACACACAGATCAGATCACCACACGCGACTGACTCATGCGATCAATACATGCAGCACCAGAGTGAATGACGTGACGTTCGTGTGCATCCATCGAGGTTCGCCCTCCCTCCCTACCCTGAAGAGGCAGTTGCCGTCCGCCTGCACCGGCTTGATCCAGAAACCTGCAATTAAATGAATAACACACACAGGCAAGTGATGTGAGGATCTATCTGCTTTGTCTGGTCGGTCTGTCGGTCTGTCTGTCTGTCTGTCTGTCTGTCTGTGTATTCACCTTTTTGCTGCAGGTGTCTGCTGAGGTGCTGGAACTCCTTGTGCCACACGGGTGCACCGTCCTCGCCATCACCGTTGCCGCCTGCAGATGCTGACGCGGACGCGGACGCGGACGCAGGCGCAGATCCCTTGGCCTCGGATGCACTGGGTGCAGGCTGGTTCTCGGGCAGCAGCTGTTGGCTCAAGTTGGTCTGGTCAGCACCACAACACAAGGGAGGCAAGATCCATGGACGCAATCCATGTTCGGCGGGTCGTTTTGCGTTTGTCCTGCACTCACCGCTTTGACGGCCTTTTTCTTCTTGAATATGTCGTCCAGCTTGCCCATCGTCTGTCTGGGTTGCCCGCGGGGAGGGAATGAGTTAGAGCGGCAGAAGGGTTTCTCTGTTTTACGTCAAGTGAGACGCCGAGACATCCCTTTTCTCCCCTTCCTCCCCGAAGCGTCCATTTGCCATTTGTCATCAGCCATGCCGAACCCTCAGGTCTTCTTCGACATCTCCATCGGCGGCGCGCCCGCAGGCCGGATCACCTTCGAGGTCAGGCAGGGAGGGAGGGAGTGGCGCATGTGGGAGTGTACGGGGCGGCAGAGAGGGAGCCGGGGACGCTGGACGCTGTGACGCGTTGAGGGGGTTGGGCACGTGTGTGCTGTGTTGTCGCCTGACGTGTCTGCGTGTGTGTGTGTTCAGTTGTTTGCTGACAAGGTGCCCAAGACTGCCGAGAACTTCCGTGCGCTGTGCACCGGCGAGAAGGGCACCGGCAGGACCGGCAAGCCCCTCCACTACAAGTGAGACGAGGGAAAGAATACATGCAGCAGAGGGGAGGGAGATGCGGACATGCCTGTCATGTGCTGTGGTGTGTGTGGATCTATGTGTGTGTGCAGGGGCTGCACGTTCCACCGCATCATCCCCCAGTTCATGTGCCAAGGTACGTAGCGCTGATCGATGTGCGCATGTGCGCAGAGGCGGGTGCCATACGCTGTTGGGGTGCGTGTGTGGGGTGTGTGTGTGTATATGTGTGTGTTCAGGTGGTGACTTCACTGCCGGCAACGGCACGGGCGGCGAGAGCATCTACGGCGAGAAGTTTGCCGACGAGAACTTCGCACTCAAGCACACCGAGCCCAACCTCCTCTCCATGGCCAACGCCGGTAGGTGCCCGGCATACACACGTGCCCCACATCAACCGAGACACACGTGAGTCGACCGACCCCCGCCGTGTGGTGTGGTGTGTTGCATGTGATGTGTGCAGGTCCCAACACGAACGGGAGCCAGTTCTTCATCACGACGGTGACCACTCCCTGGCTCGATGGCAAGCACGTCGTCTTCGGCAAGGTGGGTATCCACCCCGTGACAGACACAGTTGCAGCCAGCCACACTCTTATCTAATTTCCGTTTTGAGTGTCTGTTCTGTTTGTGTGGTCGTCAGGTGCTGGATGGCGCCAATGTGGTCAAGGCGATGGAGGCCCAGGGCAGCCAGGGCGGCCGCACCGCACAGCCTGTCGTCGTCGCCGACTGCGGACAGATCGCTTAAACCACACCAACACCAACACCTCCAGCTGCGGCCGTGCGTCCATGTCGGCTGTCGGTGGCCTCCACGGTCGCCGGTGGCTGGCTGGGCGGGCGGGGCTGCGGTGACCAGAGAGAGAGAGCTCCTGCTTGTCTGTGAGCGTGATGATGCAATGCATGTTTGTGAGATGGCGTGACGTGTGTGAAATGAGATGAGAGAGGGGCGTGTGATTGCGCTTGCGTTCTTTGGGAAGCCTCAGATGCGGGAGGTTGGGTACAGTGGCCAGGCTGTGGATGCAGTCTTGTCGCTGCTACTTCTCCCACTGGATCTGGCGCTTCTCGAGGGACACGGCACAAGCGTGGCATAGCCAGCCTCAAGCATAAGAGAGAGAGAGCAGAGAGTGTTCGTTGTCTGACTGTGTGTCTGAGCGAGTGGGTGAATGTTGTTGGGCGTGTGCTTCAGCCGAGATTGTGTCGTGCTTGTTGCGGAGCTGTGGGTATCCTTGGGGAGGGTTGAACAGCGTTCAGGCTGTCACTGCAGCTTTGACACTGTTCTGCTCCTTCCAGGACTCCTCCAGCTCCTGCACCAACGCGATACGACCACGGCATGGCCAGTCAGTCAGCAGCAGAGAGTGTTTTAACAATGGCAGCAGGCCACCCATCTTTTTGTCCATGTCTGGCGCACGATCTTCGCCTTCTCACTTCACACAACAGTGATATCGGTTTTCGCGCCTTCTTTCTTTTGTGCGTGTCCATCATTCAATGAGTGTTCGTGTCTGTCTGTGTGCATGTCGTGGCCGTTTTGTTCAATGACGAGAGAGAGAGAGAGAGAGGGGAAGGACGAGAGGGACCCGCCTCCGATTTTCCGCCTCCTTTGTGCTGTGCTCAGGAGGCTCGTAGCCAAGAGGGAGGGAGGAGGCAGCGATAGCAGCAAGGAAGGAAGCAGGAAACGAGTAGCGCAGTGCAGCAAGGAAGGACTACTGACTGTTGGTTTTGGTCGCCCTGGTTTGTGTGCGGTGCGTAGGGTTTTACACCTTTTTGCCATGAAAGACCCATGATCCGCTCGCCGTTACCATACATCTTTTCTGTATGTCTGTCTGTGTAGAAGGCCTGGCCAACACAGCCAGGAGAGCACACCAATTGGCTGGCCGGCTGTCTGTCTGTCTAGGGACCCGATTCATTGAACCAACGACCTGTTTGTACGGCTGGATGGCTGCATGCATTCCGTGCGTGGCGTATCTCGGGAACAACCTTGTTTACGCGTCTTGTCGGTCAACCAGCATTAGTATGGTTCGGTGAAGAAGGATGAGATGACAAATAACCGAGAGAGAGTCACATCCATCAATCCATCTGTCTCATTCTCACCAGCTATGTACGCTACACACACACAGGCACACACACACACACATGGTGCACACACGACACAGGCCGACTCACACACACACGCGACACATGTGATGTATGCCCCGGACCAATGTACACCAGACCGAGAAAGAGGAGAAATCGGGGGAGGGAAAGGGGGAGGACACACACATTCCTTTGCCTTCGTTGACCCAAAAACCCGCCCTCATCATGCTATAATCGACACACGAAGAAACACCGACAGACCTGACCTCTGTCCATCCGTCCGTCCGTCCGTCCATCCGCGGCTCGGCTTCATTCAACAAACCACTGGTTGATATGAAAGAACGAGTGTACCTCCCCTGCCCCCATCTGTCTGTCTGTCTGTCACATTTTGCCGAAGAGAATCTGTTTCTTGTCGGCGTCTCTGGCGGCGAGCACCTGCTCTGTGTTGGCCTTAGGGCCCCTGGGCAAGAGGTCCTTCAGCTTGTGCACCGCCACCTTCCCCGCCCCCTACACACACACGCAGAGAGAAAGAGGGATGGGCGTCTGTGTGCACTGCTGTGGGGGGCGGGTGGGTTGGTTGTGCCGACCTGTTTGGCGAGGTGCCACATGTATTTGTCGCACATGCCCTTCCACGGCTTCAGCTTCCGCTGCTGCACAAACGCCGTCAGCTCCAGCGCGATGTCCTGATGTCATGTCATGCATCAGCCAACAGGACACCCTTACATCCATCCCAGCTGTCTGTTCAGCTGAGTAAGTTGGGAGGTCGCTTACGTTAAGGTTTACGGTGCCCTTGAAGTTGATCTCCGCCACGATGGGCGAGACCCGCAGGTACTTGAAGAAAATGTACGTCGGGAGCGTCGGCACGGCCGGCACCGCAGGGACACCTGCCGCGCCATGCCTCCCCTCCTTCCTGCCCCTGCACACACACACACACACATACACACATACACACACACACACACATAAGTGGAACAGGCTCATCCCTGGGCTGTGTGTCGTGTCTCACTGATTTACCGTTGTGGGGGCGGTGGCACGTTCTTGTCCTTTTCAGCGGGCCGTGGGGAGGGTTGTTGGGCGGCGTCCTTGTCCTTGTCGTCGCCATATTTGGTTGGGGGGAAGACGAAGTCGTAGAGGGCCCGGACGAGGTCCTGCGTGAGGTCCACACGCAGAGGGGCCGCCTGGATCTGCACCGAATCAAACACCTGCAGACAGACAAAGACAGAGAAACAGACGGGCGCAACTCACCCACTGTCGATGGATGTATGTCTCTTTCTCGTTGTGTGTGGGTGGCCTGTCTGTCTGACCTGCCACGATTTGCCGAATAGCTTGACGAATCTGTCGGCCCCCCTGATGGAGAGCAGCTGCGACTGGCCCTCGAGATCCACACCCTCGGCAGCCAAAGGCGTCAGGGCCTGACGGATCCACATATGCACACACAGCATGCCTTTCCGCCTGCCTGTCTGTGTGTCTATGGCTGGCAGCGGCCGTTGGTGTTGTGCTTACGAAGGAGCTGTTTCCGTCTTCCTGCACGTCTTCGATGTTGATGGACCCGATGTCTAGCTCGAAGGTGCTGGACCGCTTGACGTCGAGCAGGAACTCCATCATGCCGTTGATGCCGCTCATCGACGCGCGGCAAAAGATACCCGACTGACGTATCAATGACACAGACACCTGCACACGCACCACACACAGACACGCAATCCATCCATCCATCCACCGACGCGGCACTGGTACCTGGTCGAGAATGTACTCGAGGTGTATCTTGTCAGGCTGCGCCTGCCGCCCCTCCTCAAACAGCCGCCTGGGCGATGTGGGTGCCGACCCCGCAATTGCCCAATGCGTCGAGGGGCTCCTGCTGGCGGCCCCCACAACCGACAGCTGCTGCCGCTCCAGCACTTCGATCAGACGGCGACGCACCCTCTCATGACGGATCCCTCCCAGACCCATGGCGGGCTCCACGTCCGCACCGTCTTCATCGTCGTCGCTCTCCTGCAATAGGATCGTGGCTGCCGTGGCGGACGGCTGTGGCGGCCCCGGCCGTGGCCCTTTGCCGACGGGCTGCGGGGTGGGGCTGTGGCCACCCACACCTCCGCCACCACCACCTGGAGAGGCGTCGGCGCCGTGAGCCTCTCGGTTCATCAGCACCTTCTGCACCACCTGAGCGAAGAGCTCCATCGTCTCGGCGTCGGCAATGAGCAGAGCGTTGCGGGCGTGCGAGCGGATGGTCGTGTCCAGAGATGGCAGCCGGCTCTCGAGGGCGATCGATACAGCGGACGTGCGCATGATGGACCCCAGGCCCGTCAGCTTGTCGCGCCCCACCACCCGGCCCTCGACGGTCGAGTCCTCGGCGATATGCGACACGAAGAAGGCGTCCACGTCTTCCTTGGAATCGTGCCAGTGGATGCCCGTGGGGGCCACCGGCCCGACGAAGGCGTAAGCCGGCTGGACTTGCAGGATGACCTTGACGTCGAGCAGGGGGCAGGGTCGGCCCTTGAGCATGTGGCTGTAGGCCACCTTGTCTGGTTTCTGGGACTTGCTGCCGTGAGGCGAGACGGGCATGCTCCGATGCCCTCCACCGCCGCCCAGGTCGTCGGTCGACCCTCTGTGCTCGAGGGAGGATCTCAGGTCGGCGCTGACGATCGCCTCGGTGGTCACCATGAGCATCTGCAGGCCCCTGTGGCCGGGGTGGGGCGGCGCCACCTTCTGCATGAAGGTGCCCGCCAGCCCGGGACCGCCACCCGCGCCCCTCTGGACCGACAACAGGCCTCGAGCGGCGGTTGCTGTCGACTGCTGTGAGGCGAAGGTTGCCGCCAAGTCACCACCAGCATCTGCTGCCTCCATATCCCCGCCGTCAGGAGTTATCCCGGCGAGCTCCTGGACGACCTATTGACAGAACACCATGACAGGCAGAGGGATTCCTCGTCAAGAGGGACGCGCGGACAGGACACCGCAGGTAAGGTACCTACCTCTTCGTATCTCCACAGCAGCGGCGCCAATTCCCAGTCCTTGGGCATGACGGGGGATGAGGGGTAGAGAGGGGGCGGGGGGATCCCCATGAGGTGGTCGGCAAACACAGACGCCAGCTGGTCGTCGCACACCAGCGACAGCGTGTCGTTGCTCAGCCGCGATGACCCCGCCCCCCTCACTGTCACGCCAGCGCCACCAGCACCACCAACCCTCCCCCTGGCAGCGGCCTTTGCAGCTGCTGCGTGGCTCCTGGCGGAGTATACTGCCGCCTGTTTATCAGGTGGAGGGAAGGGCGTCACATGGGGGCTGGTCGAGCGCGCCAGGCTGGCGAGTGGAGGCGGCCCAGCGGCGCCCTCGACGGCCTCGACAAAGTGGAGGTTGACCTGGGCGTCTTTGCACTGCAGCGTGAATTTGACCTTGAGGAAGGGCGGCGGCTTGCAGACGTCCTTGGTGGGGCTGCGGCCGCCGCGCTTGCCGTGATGCGATGATACCGACGGAATGGTGACGGGGGGCGCGGGGCCGCCCTGGAGACCTTCGATGTATGCAGCCACGGTTGATGAGGTAACCTCGATGACCTTCATTGTGTGCAGGAGGTACCGCTGCATCGCTGGAGAGAAATGCCCACGAGGAGATGACACTCTAAAAGAAAAATCAACAGCAACGGCAGATAGATATATCGGCCTTGCAGTCCATCCATCCATCCATCCATCCATTCCCCTGACTCACTCACCGGCAGAAGACCGACACGCCATCCTCGGTTTTGGCCGATATCCGCGGCACCCGTATGAAAGGCAGCACGTCATCTGCGGGCCGCTGCGGGGGGTACGGCATGAACACGCCATGCAGCAGCAGCGTCATCTGCGGCGGACACAGCCGCTCCCCCAATGCCGGCCTCTCATCCAGCGTTGGGAGCGCTGTGGCGTTCCTAGAGGGGGGCGGGGCTGCTGGGGGCCGCCGTGGCCCGCGAGGGCGCAGTGTTTGGCTGCTTTGGGGCGGGAGGGGCGGGTTTTGCGGCGAGTGGAGGGATGGGGGCGTGGGTGTGGGGATGGAGTAGGGGGAGAGGCCGATGTTCATGGAGTGCGGAGAGGTGGCATCTGAGAGGGCCATGCCCATCGCCGGCACGTACTCCTGACAGCCAGCAAAACACCCAACATACCCACCACACATGACACACGCGTACATTGGTTTTTCCTGTCTGTGTGTCAAGCTAACCATTCCGATGCGCATCTCGTGTAGCCTCAGGTACAGCGCGTCCGGGATGCCCCGTGCCTTGGCCCCCCACTCTCGCTGGATCCCCCGCGGCCCGTCGCTCTGGTGGCTGGCAGACGACACCGAGCTGCCCACCTCCCAGTGGTCCGTGGCTGCCGTGGCCAGGCCATCCGGCCGGCCCTGCCCGCCCGCATCTGCCCCTACTGCCTCTGCCGTCGGGTCGCTGGCGGTGCGGTGGGGGCGGGTGGATTCGCGGCCATAGGTCGACCGCACCTCCAGGGCACCGAAGGCGAAACGCACCGCGCCGAACTTGACGTGACACTCAGCCGCCTGACAATGAATGGCAAGTACACATGGCATGGAGTGTGGTCTGTTTGTTTGTCTGTCTGGATTTCGTCCCCTGTGCCCCCGCTCACTGACCTACCTGCACATGAACGTCAAGGCGTGTCCCTCCGTCTGGCGTGTAGCTCCGGGACAGCTGCCGCGACCTCGGGACGAATTTCGCCAGGCCGCTGCCCCTCCTGCTCGCAACCACACCCACATCCTGCGCGCCATCCCCCTTTTTGGCACCGCGGCCGCCCCCCTCTCCGCCCGCAGTCGCCTTGGTGAGCCATATCGACGAGTGCCGCCGGGCAATGCCCCTCGTCGTGTGCGCCTCAGGCGCCTTGCCGGTCGACGCCCGTATGGCTCGGTCCATCTGGGGAGTGCCCAGGAGCTGCAGAATGAGGTGCAAGTGCTCGGGGGACACATTGATGGTCAGGCACTGGGCCGGCTCCACCAGGGCGAAGATGGGGGGCTGCAGAGTCTCGCTCCTGCGTCTCTGAGAGTGCCGCCGCTCGAGTGTGGGGTAGGGCTCGGCCGTCCCCAGCCGGCGGGGCGGCTGGCTGGTGCTCGTGACCGTGTCGCCCCGCAGCAGTCCGCGCAAGAAGACCTCGAGGAAAAGGTTGGTGGGGCTGGGGAAGATGCCTGAGTCGTCATGGTGGTCTTCTCGAGGCACGTTGTCGAGACGCACCCGTCCGGCGATCTCCGGGATGCTGACGAGGGGGTAGGAGTAGCCGGAATAAGAGCCGACGGACGCCAGCTGCGTTCTAGCGTACTGCACCACGAGGCCGTTGTCCAGACGGGTGGACAGTATGGCCACGTAAGGCAGGTCGCCGGTCTCTCTGTGCGGCGAGAGGGTCCTGTCCTCTCTCGTCGGCGGCGGCAAACACGCGTCCAGCAGAGCGAACAGCTGCAACGCCGGAATGAGCATCTCAAGAGCCTCCATCCCTCTCAGCCCAGCACTCAGGCGGATGCCGCCCGGTAGCTGACAATCGACGCGGCATCGCACGCGGCCAGGGAGAGGTGCGGGAGGCGCCCGCACCTCCGGGGCGGGCAGCACCTGGTAGACCCGCCCTATGACGGCCATGGCGTTGGGCGACAGGATGGCAAAGTCCTCCACCCACTGGGTCAGCTCGGTGAGTGACGTGACGGCCTCACCCACCGAGTTACTGATGCCCAGACCCACCTCGCCGTCACTGTTGACCGTCACGTGGCAGTCCAAGCGGCCGGGGGTGGGCGAGGCCGACGCACCTGCCGTGGCGACTCGGTCTTGCAGGCGCCTCAATTCGTCTTGTGGAGAGGCAGCGGGTCCGTCGGTGGTGGTCTCGGACGGATGCTCGCGTCGAGAGGTCTTGACGCCGCACTTGCCCTCGAAGGTGAGGTGCTCCAGCCGCAAACCGAGCATCTCGTCAGCCTGGATGCAGTCACCCAGGACGGTCTTGCACCTGTAGGTCTGGACCTCGTTGTCATGGAGGGCGCCGGTGAACCGCATGGGCAGCTGGTGCTCGTCGAGTGGATTGAGGGAGATGGTGCTCTCGAGTCCGCCGATGTGCAGGCACACCAGGGGCGAGTAGATCCGCGACCAGAAGTTGATGCACGATCGCCGCCGCATGTGCTCCGGCCGCTCCTGGATGCGCGTCAGCATCCGCTGCAGCATCTGCGCGCTGTCTGACGCCCGTCGCGTCGCCAGAGGGCTCTCCTCCGCCCTCGGAATCAGCCCCTCCTCATCACCGAAGTCACGCGTAAGCGCCTTTGCGAACGTGGACGACTCGCCCGACGACCTGCGATCGGCCCCCCCTCCCTCCAGCTGCGAGGGCTGCCTCGATACTTGTCGAGAGATGGTTTGCGAGATGGACGAAGGGCTGCGATCAGACACGTCATATAGGCGGTTGCCCGTGGCCACCGGACGCCCGCTGTTCGATCCCCCAAAGTCAAAGGTCGGCAGGTCGCGTCTTGAGTGCTGGCGGGCGAACATCAGCCGCCGTGCTGAGTCGAGTCTCGGCAGCGGGAGCCGGTCGTGTTGGTGTTGTTCATCACGGAGGCGGTAGCTCAGCGTCTCCTCGACCTCTGGATGGGATGCCAGCCGCTGTATCCGCGACACCAGGGCATTCGACACCTGGTGATTCCACCGATTCCGCGTGCCCGGCCCCAGCAGGGGCACCCTCCTCCTGAGGGAGTCGCTCGACTCGCACGGCCGATCATCCAGACCACCATGTCGGTCTCTCAGCCCCTCGTCGATCCAGCTGTCGTCCTTGGAGAGCTGTGTCACCATGGCCGTGGCGTGGGTGGGCGAATCGGGGCTAAGCAGGAGGGATGTGGGTGACTGGGGGCGCCTGGGGCTGGGTGCGGGGGAGGGGAGGGCGGAGGTGTCTTGCATGCACCGCATGGCCACGAGGAAGAGGTTGACGATGCGCAGCTCCACGGCACTCACAGCTGATGCCGCTGCCGCCCTCAGCCTGATGAACGAAGGGAGGGTGGAGATAGCCGTCGGGGGGTGTTAATCGATTGTGTCCGCTTGTTTTGCTCACTTTTCGTCGGCTGTTTTGGCGTTGGGGTATAGGAAGGGGTCCAGCCGCTCCGGTGTGGGCGCGTCCCGCAGAAGGTGACTCATGAAGGGCTCCACGTTCTCAAGCAGATACACCGCATCCGTCACCTGAACACACCACCCCCCCAAACTCCTCCCGCCTGTGATTGCAGTCCTTCCCTCCCTCGTGCATACGTATACGTACCTCAGTGCAGATGACCTCCAAGTCGAGTATTTCCACGGTGAGTTTCTTGCCAATCTCTCCCTCTTTCAGCGAAGACACGGATGGCGCAGGGGGCAGCGGGGGTGCGTCAGGCGGCCGTCGCTTGGCCCTCCTCGGCCCCAATGAGGTGATGGTGAGTGCGATGCGGCTGGAGAGCAGCACGGGCGGGTGTGGGAGGACCCAGTCGGTGGGAGGGGTGAGGTACATGACCGGCTCGAGGAAGCTGATTGTCATGGACGCCGCGCTCTTCAGAGAAAACACAAATCCTGACGTGTGAATCTGACAAACGACCGACGCAGAACAGCAGCCACGTTAGTGGTCACAATGTCTGCATCTGTTCTTCGACTCACCTGAAGCTTCGGCGAGAAGTTGACCACAACACTGTAGACCTCCACGCTCACTTGTGGCTCGGGCGGTGCCGGTGTGCGGTACACTGACAACAGCCGCGACTCCGCGTTGCCATAGTAGTCCACATAAGCCGCCTCAGTGATGTACCAGTAGGTCGGCAGCACGATCCATCGCCACTGCCCCCGCACCTCACCCAGCCTCAAGGACACATTCTTGCCGTGAGACGGCAGCCGCACCGACGCCCCGTCAGTCGCCATGATGAACTCCCAGAACCTCGGAGCCGTCCGCCCAGTCTGCGGCCAATCGCCCTTGCGGACACCAGAACGGTCAGGTGACTTGGGTCTCCTTGTGGCCGTGGCTTGGGGTGGCGGCAGCAAAAGCCCAGGGGATGTGTGTGGGAACTGCTCGAGCGACTCGGCGGCACACTCGAAGGCGCGTATGGGGGCGGCAGCGATGGTGACCGCCTGCGCGGCGGTGGACATGTGCATGACGAAGTGGTCGCCGGTGAGAATGACGTGCCGGTCGTTGAGGAGCTTCGACCGCAGCACCACCTCCCCCACCTCCAGACGGAACGACTCACGGCTCGTCACGTCGGCCTCGTCAACCTGGAAGGCAACATCATGCTCGCTGACGGCGCCCGACGTCCTTCTGCCGGCTCGTTCGCCTTTGGTGGTGCTGTGGATGGTGGCCTCGCTGTGGAGTGAGGGAGAAGGCTGCGGGTGGGTGCCCATGGCGATCTCTGAGGCCTTCTTTAGGATGAGGGCCGCTGCGCGCGGCACATCAGGCTCGGAGGAGCGACGAGCACTGGCTGCAGACAGACAGACGCACAAACACAGAGGCATGGATGCGTCCCTGACCCATGCATGGATGGATATCTGGTCTCTGACCGTCTTTGGCGGCTGCGGTGAGTGGAATGGTCGGCTTTCCAGCCTGTTTGCCGCCACCCGCTCCGGCTCCCTCCCTCTCTTCGCCCACAGAGTGTTGCTCCTTCTTGGCTTTGACCAGTAGGGCCTCGAGTTGCAGCCGCCGCTGCTTGTTGACCTTCCACGTCTTTTCGATCTGCACCAGCACGAAGATCCAGTACATCAGCCCGTCGCCCATCCACACGCCCCCTGCCCGCGGGATGATCAGCTGCAGGTGCTGATGCTGCTCCGGGTGCTTTTCGATGCGACCGCTGAACTCCAAACCAGGCATCGTGGCGATCGGCTTGCGCACCTTCTCCTCGGTTTCCTCGCTCCTGCTCTCCGACACGGCATTGGCCGTCTCTCCCTCTATCTTCAGCTCGACGGCGCCGGTGCCGGCCATGACGTCGAAGCGGAATGTGCCCGTGACGTTATCGACATCGATGGCCAGGCACGAGGGGTGGGAGGCCTCGAAGAAGTGGCCCTCCACTTTGAGAAGCGTCACGCGCAGCGGCAGGAAGGCCCATGTGGGCGGGGTTGGGGGCTGTGGGGGGGTGGACGCCTCGGCGGCTGATGGGGGGAGGCAGGGGCCTGCCTCCGTGACGAGAGAGGAACCCTTGTAGGCGAACGCGAAAGCAGAGGCGCGGCTGGCACGGGGGGCGAGGAACGAGGCGTTCTCCTTCTTGGCAGCCGCATCTTTCATCTCGTTGTTGAGTTGCTGCTGCTTCCTGGCCCGTTGGATGAGGTCGCTCTGCCTGGCGACGACGCTCTCCCGCAGCAGCCGCCATGCAATCTCGAAAATCTCGCACATCTCGTTGGCCACCACGGTGACCTGCAGCGTGTGTGACAGCACCTCCATCTCGTCGAAGACCAAATCCAGCGGCCGCCAACCCCGCCCCTGCCGCCACCACAAGCCACACCTGCCCTTGGCCACCCCACGAATCGACGAAGGGAACCGGGCGACCGGCCGCTTCCCCGCAGCGTGCAAGGCCGACTTGGGTGCGTGCGCCACCCTCTTGACCGAGTCGCCGGCAAAGTCCACCCACACCTCCAGCGTCGCCATCGACACAGCGGCGTACAGACGGTGGCCCTTGGCTGCAGGCGCGACTTCAAGGGACTCTACATGGATGCGCGGATGCAGCCGCTGATCGAGGGAGGTCATCTGGACGTCCTGCAGGGCGGCATCCAGGGGCAGGGACGGCTGTGCGGCTGGCGGCGGACAGTCGAGCTCGAAGCGGACGCAGGCCTCTTCGATGCAGCATGCCACCCAGCGGCAGAGGGTGTGCAGGCCGATGACGACAGCCACGGATGAGAACAGAGATGCCAGCCAAGACAGCACCATCGACGAGGCCCCGATCTTCTTGGCTGGCTTGCCGTCGGCTGCCACCTCAGCCGTCTTGGCAACGAGCAGCAAGGGTGACGTGAACCGGCAGACTACCTCCGCCGACCCGATAGCGATATTCAGCCGCCATGAATCCCTCAGCACGCGGACTCGAATCGATTGCACGGCGATAACGAGATGCGAATTTGTCAGAGTGGGCAGCCTCAGCGAGATGACAATGTCCGCGAAGGCCCAGAACCCCGCCCCTTTAATTTGAGCCTTGTCGATGAAAGGCAGCCGGGCGAGCGCGGCGCTCAGGAAGGTCGGGATGAAGTAGGGAAGCAGCAGAAGGAACAGGCAGATGAGAACCAGCAGGGAAAGGATGAAAGCAAAGGGCATGGCGGACACACACAGATGTGCAGCCCGAACAGGCCACGAGAGAGGCCCCGGTTTTGCTTTCTCTCTTGAGCTCCTGAAAGAGATATCTACATCAATAGCTCATGAACAGGTCCAGCTGCCCAGAGAGCCTCTCCAAGCACACGCGCGAGCTCAATGATTTGGGTTTGCTGTGAAACAAGACGCAAGACAAAACAGGACATGAGTTACTCATGGCTGCATGAGTGACGGTAGAGTGGCATTGCAGAGCTCCTGCACTCACAATTCTGTGTGTCGTATGCTGACGGACTCGTCGCATGGTCAACAACGTGGCATCTCACGGTCAATCGGTCAGGGCCAGCACTCATCAGTCAATCGCTCACCGCGCACTCACGCACACACGCATTATCGCAGGCAGCGTGTACATGAGAACCCTCACACGCACGTGAACGAGACACACACGGCCTCTCAGCGGCCGACTGTCACAGGCCTCCTCTCAAGTCATACATCAAATGGCGGACGCAGAGAGATATGCATGGTATGCATGCAGCCAACCAGAGATTCCCCAACACGCCGTCAGTCAGTGGTTTGCAGATAGACAGATGGATATATACACAAGTGCGAGTGCACACGGCCAAGATATGTGTGCCTCAGCAGCAGAGACAACGCGCACTCAGGCAGCCGAATGCAGTGAGTGGGCTCTCTCGCTATGTGTATGCTCAAAAGCCGCCCGACATACGTACGTATCCGGGACACAACAGCGTGCATTGGTACCGGAGATGGCGCATGTAGACACGACAATGAACTGTGTTCCACCACACTCATTCAGTTCCGAACGACATTGAGTTGCGAGAGATCCGTTCATGTCGACACCATGCAATGAAACCACTCACTCACTCACTCACACACCCAGACACCCAGGCAGGCAGGCAGGCAGACAGACAGTGTGGTGTGTGTGTGTGTATATATATGTATATATCATGTACACGTAGGTACCATGTATGTATGTATCTGTACACAACGCGTGCAGCCGCGCCACCACCGCACGCCACGCTGTGGTCCTTCCCTCGATCTGCGACAAACTGACTGACTGACGCCCCCCTGTCCGGTCCGGTCCGGTCCGGCGACAAGTAATCCATCCATCCATCCATCCAATCACTCTCTGCTGCATACATAGCCAGTCGATCACGCGTATCCCTACTGTACCTGCCTCTACGCATACACATATGGGGCCACTCCTTCCGTCAGCAAACACACGACCAAACTGTGACGGCCGATTCAACGACATACATACGTGCAAATGCATTTGCATGTATGTCGCTGGCTCGGCCGTGCACAGATGCACCCATCCACCCACCGTGGTCGCTCTCGAAATCAAAAACGAGACAGCCAGACTTCAGCCAGCTAGGTATGGCCATCACTTGACAGGCAGGCCTCTCTTGCGCCTAGCTTCGCTGCGCAGCTGAGGCCACTCCGAGCGTATCCCCTGTGTCATGACTTCCTCCCACTCCTTGTGCATTTGGCGAGAAACACACCGGGGGAAACGCAGGCCGAGATCATGGGCCAAAATGGCCTCCGGCAGCGACACGGTGTCATCCATAGAGAAACGCGACGTGCACGCCCCCTCTAGAGATGCCATCGACATGTGGTCGCGCAGACAACGAGGGAAGAGGCAGCCAAAGACGCGACACAGCTCGGCACTCCTACAGGACCGACTGTGAGAATCGAGGTCGACCTGCCCAGCTACGAAGCCACGCACCAGCAGCCTGCCTCTGACTGCGTCAAGGTCGCTTTCTAGCCGATTGACTGAGCAGAGGATTGAGTGGCGGAGAGCGATGGCGTCGAGAAAAGGGCACTTGTCGATGGCCTCCAGACACACCGATAAGATGCCTGACACTCCAGGGCTCGACATGTATACCTCTATACTGATCTCTTGGACTCGCTTCTCAATGCCTCTCTGACCCCCTGCCCCGCCCCCGCCCCCTCCCCCAGCCCCCCACAGCGACCACACACGGTCGAGGCTCACATCGGTGTACCGGCACTCGGCTTTCACGTGCAGCAGGTGGCCTGTCTGGCTGCACGCACCGAGGCACAGCGGGAACAAAAACGGCACAGCCGGCAGCGGCGCAACGATCTCAAAACCCACCTGCCGCAGCGATCTGAGGTCGGTGGCCCGCCTGACTGCGTCCTCTCTCACCCCCGCTGCTGCCTGCCCCAGATCGAGTGTGGTCACATGAGGGAAAGAGCGATCGGATATGTGCGACAAAAGCGCCGCAGGGGGCGGCTCGGAGCCAGCCCCCAGGTACAGGGTCTCAGCATTCGAAAACACTATCTGAGGCAGCCGATACAGCACAACAGTCGGCACTGCCTCCCCCTGAGCCACCCCAGAAGGAAGCTTGACACCCTTGGCGGCAGAGGCGAATTGTGTGAGCATGCCAGCCCACGACGGGTGGTCTGCTAGCAGCTCCAGGTGCTCAGTCGTACGGAAGATCATGTCCGGTGTGCACGTGATGTTGATGCTGCCGTTGGGCGCCACACAGGTGGACAGAAACTTGTCGAGCCTGCCGAAATCCTGACGGATGGCAGACATACGCACACGGAGGACATGGCATCAGGTGAGGTCCTCTCTTTGCTTTGCGCTAGCTCATCTCATGTACACACCTGCAGCGTTGTGGAATGGATCGGAGTGAGGATGACGTCGAGCTCCTCCAGCTGCAGCCCCCTCTCGGCCATCTCGGCGATCTTCATGTCGATCTTCACGGCCGTGTGGGTGTCACGGCATAGCAAAAACCACCTCACGCCCTTGAGCCGCCTGCGTAGCGCACACGCGACACATCCACATCCACACACACGTACACGCACCCATATTCGCTGCCCCTCACTTGATGGATGGCACCAACATGTCGCAGAGGTTGGTGAGCTCCCACCCCCTTGACGTGTCCGTCTCGAGCGTCAGGGTGTGCGGCCCTGGGCCTGACAGCCACTTGGTGCACCGCCAGCCGTTGTCGCCGGAACACATCCCGTAGTCTATCTCGCAGATCTGCGCGATGGGGTAGCAGGCCTCTCGATCGCGTAGGTGCACGTCAACCAGCGCCCTGACATGATGCACGCACATCCCTGACATCCGAGCGACCAATCCCTCCCTCACTGAGTCGCTTACGGTAGCTTCCAGTTGCGTTTGTTGGCGACGGACAGCCACCACTCGGCTACCCATACGCACCGCAGCTTGGGAAAGGTGCTCTCGTAACGTCCCCGTGGCTCCCACGAGAACGAGAAGATGGGCTCCTTCCGCACCTCCAGGTCGAGCGGGCCGTCATTGTACAGGCACCCAGTGGTACGCGACCACGCGTGCAGCTCCTCCAGTGTGCCGCACGCATGCTCGAGCAGCTTGACCACACCAGTGGTCGGCGCACACACCATCGTCGCGTGCTTGGTCTTGCGAAATGCTGCACCCCACACACGGACCTGCTGCTTGGTCATCTCGATCTCGTCGCCAAAGTCCTTGCCGAGGCGCAGCGTGGTGTGCATGGTCGGCTTGCGGGAGAGGACGCTGAGGGACGGGGCAGTGAGCGCCAGCCTGGTGATGATGGTCTGTGTGCCGAGGAAGGGGCTGATGTGGCCGCTGAAGCATGACTCGGGCAGTGTGGGCAACGACTGACCCTCCTGACACACACGCAGGACAGGACAACCACGGCGTGTGATTGATACGTTTCCTTGCCAGCACCTCGAGTGGCTGAAGGTCTGTGAAACAAGACGAAAGACGACCGAAGCTGGCGCGATGAGCTCGAGTGCTGCCGCGGCGGCTGCCGCAGGCAGCCAAGGCGGCAAGCGTAAACAGCCGCCTGACGGCCATGGCGACCGCGGCGGCCATCTGGATGTGAGCATGGAGCAGTTTGATGTGGTGAAGGCGAAGCTGCAGGAGATCAAGAATGAGCTGATTGCAAAAGAGCGAGCGATGGGCGGCACTGGCGATTTGACGGAGCCTTCGGTATGGATCTCGAGGACTCAAGAGGGTATGGTGACTGTGTTGCATGTGTCGATTTGCATTGTGTTGTGCCAGGCGGAGTGCATGCGCGAGGTATTGGAGTTCAGCCTCAGCGGAGAGTATTTTCGTGCCCGGCGGTCCACCCTGTGTGGGGTCAAGGGGTCTGTCATAGCGCTGCTCTTCTGCGGCGCTTTCGACCAAGCATTCATCCGAGATCAGAACAATCGCATCTTACTCCAAGTGTTCCCGCGCGCATTCAAGTGGTGAGAAGCCAAAGTGAAAATCCATCACGCTCAGGATGTAGTGTGCTTTGCTCGTGTCCATCCTGTGTGTCAGGTTGGTGGGGAAGTTAGATATGTATGTGGCCGAGCAGACCGACAGCATCGTCATACCACCGTCCAGGCAAAACGATACGCCATTCAAGTGAGTGGGCCACACCAACTGACACTCGGCAGGCTGCCTGTGCTGCCGTGGATCCCATGGTGTGGTGTGGTGTGTTTGGTATCGTTCAGGTACTGGGTTGAGTTGCTGATGTCGGACCCCGGCTACCCTACCAAGCGGCGCGCGAACCGTGTGCAGATTCCCCCACTCACACAAGGCCACCAGCAGCAGCAGCAGCAGCAGGGGGACGGAGGGCAGCAGCAGCCGCAAGCAGATGCTGAGGCCCTCTCTGTCGAGCTGGTCAGTATGATCAGGAGGGCCAAGGATGCCAGGGACGCCCAGCTGGAGCGCCTCGAGGCCATCAGACCGCTGCTGAAGACTGGCAACACGGATGAGGATTCGGTAAGCCGACGATGAAAGGGGAGAAAGGAAAGGAGTCATTGCTCATGTGTGTGTCCCTTGTAATGTGTATGCCTTTCGTGCCCTGCGATGTCAGTTGGTGTCGATTGACGTGTCGGGCGCCACCGTGACGGTGACCAAGGGCGTAGCCACTTCGCTGGGCGACGACTCGACCTTCGCAAACATATTCCTTAAGTGAGCCACCACCCAGAACACCCGCGCAAAGCGGTCAACCCACTGGCCTCTCCCTTTTGGCGTGTCAGGCACGATGGACGTGCCGCTGGCTTTGATGTGGAGCATGTGCACCGTATCGTCGACATCGTGGCTCGAGCGCACATGAAGGGCACCGCCATCTCGGCCCAAGACGTCCATGAGGCCAAAGGCGGCGAGATCGACGAGACCGATTATCGCTCCGTGCTCGACATGTAAGGAGAGAGGTCACCACCGAGAGAGAGAGAAGATGCAACCTTGGCCTTCTGTCTGTGCCTGGCGGCAGGTACGGTTTGGATAGCGATCGCTATTTGGGGCCCATCGACGGGCTGCTGACCACTGACCACCTGCACAAGATGCGGCAGTGGTGTGAGGGAGACGAGGACGCCCCGCCGATCCCTCCGTGTGTTGGCGAGCCGGTCCACCGCATATACAAGTGAGAAGGGCAGGCCAGACAGCTCCGAGCATCCTGCCGATGTGTCTTGATTTGTGTGCGTGATGTCAGGGCAACTGTGGATGGTTGGAGGTGGTTGGATTTCTTCGATGCCGTCAGGGGCCACTCCCCCCTGGTGCTCATCTCCAAAGTGGCCGACAGCAATGAGCTCTTCGCCATGATCATCGAGGGGCCCATCGAGGTCACCGGGGCGGCCATTAGCGACACCGGCACGGAAACACACGCCTTCAAGCTGCGGGGGACAGACAGCCACCCACACGTGGGCTTCATCGGCTGCAGCGACCAGATGACCATCGCGGGCACACAGGTGGGTACTCATCTGAATGAGTCATTCAGGCAGTCATGGTGATTGTCTCCTGTCCATCCGTGTATGTGTGTGCAGGAGAGAGTCACCGAGCTCATGGATTACTCATTGCCCGACTCTGAGCTGACAGCCCTCCTCTGGGTCGCATCCTTCAGCTTTGGCGTCCGTCCGACCGCTCAGCAGATCGGCGCGCCAGCAGAAGCCAGCGACGAGAGCATGAAACGGTGCCAGGGTCACATGCTGGAGGAGAATCAGCCCGACGAGTGGCGGCAGTGGCAGCGGCCGAGCGTCAGGCCGAGCGACCACGACTGGGATGAAGATGTAGTGTTCCTGCCTGTGTCTGTGAAGGGATGGCACTTTGAGATGGATGAGCTGGAGGGATACGTGCTGGCGTGAGAGGCTCTCGCATGCTCTGCCTGGGTCGTGCACGCAGCGTGACCTATGGATGTATGCGTTGCATATGTGACTCAACCTCTGTGCACAGACAAGACACTTCAGCGTGACACAGATGGGCTGAGAAAAAGCTGAGCTGCCACTTCTTCTGGTGTTCCATCACGCTCATTCACTCCCCGTCCGTCCGTCCGTCCGTCCGGCCGGCGGCACTGAGGCGAGAGATCCATTTGTGTCGACACCATGCAATGAATCTACTCACTCACACACAGGCAGGCAGGCGGCAGGCAGGCAGGGCCGCAGTATGTGAGTGAGTAGATCGTCCATCGTCCATCGTCCATTCGCTGGCTGCCATTCAAACGAAAACGCACTCTGAGTGTGTTCATTTGTTTTGCATCCACGGAGCATGCATTGCGTACTTTGATTGGCTCGTCTTCGGCCGCCTGGTGGTCATCACAACCATCTGAGCCCTCCACACCGTCGATGGAGCCTCCTCTCCCATTATCTGTTACGACCGAGGTCGCCTCGTTAATACATCCCCACCCCCACCCACCACCACCACACACGGCCGGTGGGCAGTCGAATCGTGTCTCTGCTGGGAGGCCCGTCCATACATCCATCCATCCATTCATCTCCCTCTCCCGCTCCACTCACTGGTCGTCCTCCATCAGTCAGCGTACATGCCGCCGTCCTCCTGCACGACCGCTACTACCCATGCCCTGTCACACCACCAACAGCAGGAATGACATGACATTGACATCCCAGTTAGCATAAGAGAGGGTAAACGCATCGGCCCTCGCTCCCTGCCTCACTAGCCATACACGACTGCCCTGTTCCGCGCCCCTGTGGCTGTCCCCCCCCCCCCCCCCCCCCCCCCCCCCCCT